CCCCCCTTTGTAGTCTAATTGCTGTTGTTTAAATAGGCATCCAACCTCTATGAAATTCAAGATTAAAACGTTATCTGATTGAATAAAATTTTCCTTTATCTCTTTTAATTTCAATTTTAAACTCAACCAGTTTATATTCCAATTTTGATTCAAATTTAAACATAACTATCTATCTCTTGAAGTAAGCCAGACAATTACAAATATTCTAGGTCTAAAGTCTAAAGCAAGCCCAAAACTCAAATTCAAAGCCCAATTCGAACTAAATCGAGATTCGAAGAGTGTCTACATGACCTACGTCTACGGATGAGAAACAAGATTTACTAATTATAGAGAATTACTAACATACATCAAAACATATCAATCACTCAATAATCAATACTCATAGATCCTCTCAATCTTCTCTAATCTTATAGAGTATTCTCAATCTAAACAAATACATATCTATATGCACTTTTTTAATACAACTAAACACATACTTATATGCACCTATACATCATACCTATATGGACCCTCTTAGTTTCATTTAGTCCACTTACAAACATTCAAACATATATACTTATAAGACATAAATCTTCAGTAGTCTTATGGGGTGCCTATCCCATAAAATCATATAACTTTCTTGCATCTTTTTTTATACCTAACCTTATAGAAACTTCACTTATATATAATATTGTACAAACTTACCTATTAAAAATCTCTCCTTTTATAATTCTTCTACAAGTCAAACTTACCTATTAAGAATCTTCTTTCTTTTAGAATTCTTATTTTCAAGCCTTCTTATTCATCAAATAATATATAACAATTCTCTTATGAGATTTGAGTCATTCTCAATAATCTTCACCTTGACTCAAATTTCATCAAATCATCTGTATTCATGCTAAAAATGCTTGACTCCACCTACAATGAAAGTCTCACAATCATCTTCTCTTGTGTGTCTTCACACTTTATACAAACTGATCCTCAATCCTCAAAATATGAACTTCAACTCTTCTCTTGAATCAATCTCTTCTAAGTTTACCTCTTCTCATGACTCGAACTTTTAGCTTTTTTCATGTCTTGAACCTTCAGCTCTGATACCACTTGTTTGGGATCACCATAACTCTGATACCACTTGTTAGGCTAAAAAACCTCAATCTAATCACACCAACAGAAGAAAAATCAAATAATTGATCAATTACACTATAGACGTTAATTTAACGTGGTTTGATCCAATTGACCTACGTCTACAGATGAGAAATAAGATTCATGAGTTGTAAAAAAATATAAACATACATCAAAACATATCAATCACTCAACAATCAATACTCATAAACCTTCTCAATCTCCTCTAGTACTATATAATATTCTCAACCCAAACAAATACATAACCATATGCACCCTTTTAACACAACCAAATACATACCCATATGCACCCATACATCATACCTACGTAGACCCTCTCAGTCTCCTCTAGTCCACTTACATGTACCATACCTATATGGACCCTTTTAGTCTCTTTAGTTCACTTACAAATATTCAAACATACATATCTATAAGACGTAAATCTTTAGTAGTCTTATGAGGTGTCTATCCCCTAATACCTTACAACTCTCTTATATCTTTTTCTGATACCTAATCCTATAAAGTATTCACCTATTTATAACCATACAAACATTGCCTATTAAGAATCATTTTCCTCTTAGAATTATTCTTCTGCAAATCAAACTTACCTGTTAAGAATTATCTTTCTCTTAGAATTTTTTTTTTACAAGTCTTTTTGTTCATCAAGCAATATCTAACAAATCCAAATAGTTCTCTTATGGGATTTGAGTCATTATTCCCAACAAAAATATGATAACTTATGTTTTTTAGCATTTGGTAATGTAACTCATGGTATTACTTCCTAAATCATTGGAGCTTTTACGTTGAATTAATTGTAAAATCAATGGTGACAAATTGGTGGAATCGTAGGAACATATTTATATATAATTAAGGATTTTGGAGGCTGGTCCAGATGATTCTTCCATATTTTGTCTTGCAAAGCTTGATATCAGGCAGAGAAGTCATGATTGCTGATTCAAGGTGGACGGTGAGTGATGATAATCAGATTGATATTTGGCATAGTAGGCGGCTAAATAAACCTCCTATAAACCGACCTTCAATACCTGCTTTTATATCAGTTCATCCTTGGAAAGTAGCAAGTCTGATTGATGATCAAAGATGAGCGTGGAATGTTGAGATAGTTTCTGAAATTTTTTCTCCAGAAGATGCTGATCAGATCATTATTCATATTCCTTTGGGTCGTCGGTGTGTGCCTGACAAGCTCATTCGCAATGACGATCATTGCTGGGACAATTTGCAATGAAGTCTGCATATTTTGAAGCAAGGAAGATTTTGGGATGGGAAGAATGTCCATATGAATTTTGCATTCCTATCTGGCAATTAGTATGGTCTGCTGAGTGAGAGGTATTCAGATGAATAATAACTGTTGTTTTTGTAGCAATCTAAGTGAATCTCTGTTCTGTCTCTTCATTGAGTACAAATTTAGTTGTGAAATGTGGAGGGATTATACTAAGAACGGGAGAGCAGGCTTGGGTATGGTGGATATGGATATGGATGGCTCTGTTATTTTGTGTGCTGTGACTAAGGTTTGATCATGTGATGATCGAGTCCCCTTCATGCTGAAATGCAAGCGTTGTTGTTTGGAGTTAGGATGACCCAAGGTCATGGTCATAGTGGAGTGTGACTCATATTTGCCCATTTCTGAAATCACAAAGGCATAATATATATCATACATGATGGGATGGATGGTGGTAGCTTGATTTGGCTTCATGTAATGTATCTTGTCAGTTTAATCGCACTAAAGAATGGCTAATTATTTAGCACAGCTAAAATTGAGGGCGATATTGGAAACCAACCTATCTGGCCGGGATCACTTCCAAGTTTTCTTTGTAATATTGCTGCTACTTGATAATTAATCAATGTTATCTTCTTAAAAAAAAAGTATATTGCATTATTGGGCCATTATTTATGATTATGAAATTATACTAATAATGCTATTTTTCAGCCAATGTTCTTTTTTGAATTTTCAACTACTTTGTTTAGGAAAGTCTAACGTTGTAAGCAAAAAGTAGGCGATGGAGAAAAAAAAATTAGAAAAAAAAAAAGAGACCTATTTTCCTTTAACTGTTATTTCAAAGAAAATAATAGGTTTATCTTTTCATGTTTTAAAGAAAATTGTGTTTTGTTTAAGAAAACAAAATTGTTTTTTTTTTATAAAAAACAGAAGATTTCTCAACATGTAAAAAATATTTGATTGAAAAATAAAAAACATAGTTTAAAAAATAAAATTGGGGCAAAATTAGAAAAAAATTTCCATTGTTTACAATAAAAAATACTTTGGAAAAATAAAAATGTGAAAACACCATTTAAAAAAAAAATTCCCTCCATATTATAAATCATCAAAAATATTGAATTTTTTTAGTCACCATAAATGCAAGAATTTTTTTAAAAAATATTTTTTATAAAAATCTTTTCCAATCATAATCTATTTTCATGTTGAGAGGTTTTGCTTTCATATTTTTCATCATAATTTTAAGGGTATAAATGATACATTTGTATTTATAAATTATTCAAGTTTGATTCGAATAAAATTTAAATTCAGTTCAATTATTATCGAATCGAGCTCGAACTCGAATAACTCGACTCATCAATCTAATCGAGTTCGAATTTTTGTATACTTGATTCGAATAGCTCACAAATGTAATCAAATTTTTATATGTAACTAAATTTTTATTATTTTAATTAATAAAATATTTTAAAATCGAATTTGAATTTAAATACAAATAATCAAACTTTCATTAAATATAAAAATTAAATTTATTTTTACATATTAATTGAGTCTAATCGATTAAATTCAAGTAGTTTAATTTTTATATTGAATTAAATTCAAACTAAAATAAAATAAAATTCAATCAAATTTAAACTAAATTTTAAATCTTAAATTTAAATCAAATTCAAACTCAATAATATATGAATTCGAATTTAATTTATTACATCTTTAGTCTTTTTATCTTTTAATGTCGAGGGGTTTCAAATATAATAATCACGTCTAACGTTCTCGAAATGAATAACAGACGAAAACCTTGTCTCTACGTAAAAAGGCAATAAAAATTGTAAAAAGCAATTTTGTTACAATTTGATGGAAATAAGGGCGAGTGTGATTTGAACTTTTAGAACGTGTGCTACACCGACCTAAAAGATGCGTGGGAAACGCATGTCTTGATAGTTGAAACAACGAGAACTGAAAAAAAAAAAAAACGCACAGACGTACAAAACTGATTTTATAACTGGCGGCGAATTCTAGGTTGCTCGCCACGTTAGTTCTAGCTGTTAAACAAAAAAATAACACCCAAAAATTTACATGATTAAAGAAAAACACTAGCAGCGGTGAGTAGGAAATTCCGAACAAGCCAGCAAGAACTCAAGTGTTCTACACTTCAGATTACCAGAGTACCCTCAAGTCATTGACTTAATTATCTAAAAATTAATTAGTCATTAAGGTGCCAGATTAGAGGAACAAAGCGCGATTAACAGAGGGACGAGACTTTAAGTGGTAGAAGGTGAATGGGGTGTTTTGTCTAATCAAACAATTTGACCGACTGAGCCGGGCATCTTGAGCCCTACGTCATTGGCATCATGTAATTCGAGACTGAGTCAGCAGTCTATGGAGCTCTCTCATTGGGCCGAAGTTTACCTGTGGAACCCACATCTCTACGTGTCCCAATCGGATGCCATCATCCAGATGCAGCGAATTCTACCTCACCGGAATCTTTTATTGGAGACCATCCACTGCCTGTGATAACAAGTACATACTCCATGCTAATCGTCGATGACTATAAAATTAGACATATTACATACACCTAAAAAAAATTTTTTTCCTTTAATAAAATTAGTAATTTAAAAAAAAATTACTAATTATAGGTTAATATTAGTATACTATAATGAGGATTTTCCAATTTCGGCTGCTGGGATCCTATAAAACAGCAAATTCTGGGACTCCACCGCAACCAAAACTCCACTTCTCATACATCTTACTACTTTACGCCTACTATCGTTGAAATATTTTTGCACTCCGTACAGTTTGTTTTGAATACCAGTACCACCATCCCTTTCTTTCTTATCCTTTAGTGTTTGAAGTCAGATTTGCTTTCGTCTCTCATCAAATGTGAAGCAGATTTGAGGCTTTTTTTGCCAGATTTTTTATCAGGAACGGTGACTAGTATAGAAACTTCCTGGTAATTTGTTTCCCAAAAGAAAATTACTGGAGGCCGCAGTTATTCACTCTCCTTTTCTTCTGGGTTCAGTCTCTCCTTTTATATCTGTTGCTTTCTAACAAATCTTTAGAGTAGTGAGATTTTTTCTTTTTTCAGCCTCTGCCGGGTCTTCCTTTGTTGAAGGCTCTCTCTCTCTCTATCTCTCTCTTCTTCCCTTATTCCAATCTTTAATAGTGTTTTTGAAACCTTTGATACCTTTTGGCAGATTTCTGATTCAGCCATGTCTTTGTTATCTCTTTCCACGGTTTAAGCTTCTCTTTCAAGGTTCCCTACCTTTTTCCCACTTTATTCTTGTACGTCGCTCGACCCTTGTTCTCTTCCTTCTTTCTATCGATGCCAATGGACGGAATCTGAGACCACCAAAACAACACAACCCCAAAAAGAGAAAAAAAAAATCAGCAAAGCTAAAGATGGACCAAAGTATCCTATGTCCGATCAAATACACCGAACACAAAATCGTCACAAAAAAATTCAGAATGACGTCCTTGAAGCCCAAAAAACCATCTTCCGGTTATGACCGTACTCACAACAACAATACCCCCGACGTTCCCAGAATCGTACGGGTATCCATTACGGACCCTGACGCAACGGACTCTTCAAGCGATGAGGAAGCTCACTTCTTTGGTCGCCAGAGAGTGAAGCGCTACGTCAACGAGATCAACATCGAAGCCGCTTGCAAAGCCACCACCGCCAACAACATTTACAACAGCAACCGCAAGAGGACGACCGCAGCCGCCGACGTCACAACAGCCTGTCTTAGACCACTCAAGCTTTCTTCAACCAACGGAAATGGTAGGAAGTTCAGGGGAGTACGGCAAAGACCGTGGGGAAAATGGGCGGCGGAGATTAGAGATCCTGCTCGACGTGTACGGCTGTGGTTGGGTACTTATGATACTGCTGAAGAAGCAGCCATGGTTTATGATAATGCAGCAATCAAGCTTCGAGGACCTGACGCTTTGACCAACTTCGTTACTCCTCCTGCGAAGCAAAATAATGAAAAGTCCGAAAAAATTAACGTGGATTCGGTTTCTGGGTACGAATCAGCGGACGAGTCATCTCACAATCTTTCTTCTCCAATTTCAGTTCTTAACTTTCGAACTCAATCAAGTGAAGAAACAGCAGTCGAACAAGAAAAACCGGTTCAAGAACTCCGAGAAGAAGATAGTAAGCGGCCGCCGGTTCAGGAGCAGCTGGTTTCAAGCGAATGCCAAGGGGAAAGTGAAACAAACTTGCCCGATGATTCGGGAGATTATTTGTCACTTGATTTCCCTTTTCTCGACGAGTCTTTCAACATCCCAGTTCCTGGATTGTCGCTCTTTGATGAGACTGCGACGATTTTGCCAGACAGTAGCCTGTTCAGTGGGGATTTTAGTGACATGTTACTCGACACGTCTCAAAAATCGTCATCATCTATTTTACAAGTGGAAGATTACTTTGAAGACATCGGCGATTTGTTCTTCTCAGACCCTCTTGAGGCACTATGAGAGAGAAAGTTTAGTCCTCTTTTCTCGAACGAATGTCGTCGCCGCTTGCTTGCCGATTTCCCTGCAGATTTTGGATCGGCGGCGAAATAAAAAGATTTGGGGTTATTCACTAATATTATTTATTTGTTTAATTCCTCCGTTAAAAAATAAACGGAGAGTTGAGTGGAGGTTTGTTTTTCTTTTTATATTTTTCTTTTTGTTAAAAATAATTAGGCGTGTACTTAAAATTTTGACGGAGAAATGAGAAATGAAAAACTTTTGTTATCCTCTTTTTCTGGAAATTCTAACGGATGTGATTATGACGTGGCAATAGATACTGTGTGACACGTGTAGAAATTTGAAAGTGCCATGGTGGCATTCCTCTTGCCTCCACACGAGCAGGCGCAATTCACGGTTACGGCCGGTCAAGTGAATCCGAGTCGGTGCTGCTCATGTGTGAAATCTAGACCCTCATTTTTTTATTTCTTTTTGTTCATTTTATAATTATTTTTGTTTAAGTTTATGGTGCCGCAATGTATAGTCTATAAAGCTAAAGAAGCAAAATAAAATGCAGGCTACAAAGAGCGGGGTGTAAATATAATTAATATTAAGCTAATTGGGGTCAAATTCTACTTACTAATAGTATTAATTGGAAATGGTTCAAAGGGTATAAGTTGTGCCAGCTTTTACTATTAAATTAAATCAGTAGGTTTCTGAGTTGGTGAGATTTGCATCTTCTGTCATAACACTATAAATATAATACACATTGCTAAATTTATTAAATTTCTTTTTTTTTTTCCAAAAATCTCTTTACTATGAATTAGTTTTTAATATATTGACAAGGAATTTTTTTAATTATATAAATAGGATTAAACACTTGATACATATTATATTTTTTAAATTTATTTTTTGATACATTTTTAAAAAATATGTATTATTATACTAATCTCATTTTTTATATCTAAAAATTTTAATAATCTCTCTTTAAATTATTTTGCTAAAAAATGTTTCTTTTTTTGTTGGAATACATTGAAATTTAATTTTCATGTTGTGGAATAAATATCTATACATATAATTATTATTTGATTATCAAGATTTTGCGTTGTAATAGCAGTTAAATTCACACCACAAATACACATTACTTTCTTTTTCAATTTTTTTTTCCTCTAAGAGAAATCTTAAGTTAAAAAGTCCACAAGTCGTCAACTCTTATAGTATATCAGAAAAGTCAAGTATTAAAAGGTTGCTTGAAATGTGGAAAACTGTGAACAAGAATGTGGAAGGAATTTTTTTTTTAAAATGGCAAGAATTAATGCAGTATAAAACCGTATGTAACGTAATTAGAGAGGGCCACTAAGAATTTAGGATGTTTGACTATCAATGTCGTAATCATTGTTGTCGACATCTTCCTATATAAATCTTTAGATTTTTTTTTTCTTTTTTTTTTTTTCAAAAGTTTGCATAGGATTCCTATAACCAATGTGTTTTTCGTCAAAACGAATTTCCCTTTTCAGCAAATAATGCAAGTTAGGTAGGCATAATTCCTTCTCAATTTAATTACAATTAGATTTTCTCATGTCCTTTTTTATATATATACAGGAAATGCACCGTCTAAAAATAAAATAAAGAAATTGAAAATTTTAAATTTCAAATTTCAAATTTATTAAAATTTTTTGAAAGAAACTAAATAAAATTTTGGGTTTTAATAATTGTTTTTTTTTAATTTTATATCTAACTGCAATTTTAAAATGAAAATTGCAGACAGACATAGTCACGTAATTAAATAGATTGTAAAAAAAATTTTAGAAAAGTAAATTAATCCAACATTAAATGGAAACTTTTAGGGGTATAATATAGAATCGTATAAACTAATACTATGTTTGGATATATATATATAAATAAAATAAAAAGAAAAAAGAGGAAATTTTAAAAAAAATTATAAATGTATCCCTTATTTGGATAGTTAAAATTAATAAAAAAAAAAATTCGAACAACCATCATTTAAATAAATAAAAAAGGAAAAGACATAATTCATTATAATATTTTTTTTAATTATAATTTTTTTTTATAAAATATTATATAATATACAAATATATCTTTATACTACTTAATTTATATAAACAAATTTTTTTAAACAAAATTAAGCATATTTAATACGATAAAATATATTAACTAGTTATTGATTTATTCTTAATTTTGTGTTCAATTTAGTATTTTAATTTATTCTGATAATAATTTAGCTTGTTTTGTTATTAAAACTTAAAAAATTATAAAATATTTATAAACTATGATATTATATAAAATACTCATAAAAAAATTATTTTTGTATGAAATATTAGTTATATAATCAAATATAATATTATAATAAAAATATGAATATAATAATCTTTTTATAAAAATAAAAAATTTTCAACATTTTTTTCTTTAACTTTTCCCTTCAATTATGGTATTAAAAAAATAAAAATTATAAGAAAAACAAAAAATTATTGAATTTTCACTTCTTTTATTTTCTTTCAATTAAAAATTTACCTAAATAAATTAAAAAAAAACTTACTTTCATTACTTTCTTTTTTTTTTTTTTCCTTTCTTTCACTTCACCTCAATTCAAACATAGAGAAAATTAAAATGAGAAATAATCGTAAATTCGTAACTTGATTTGTTTGTTTTTTTTCCCGTGAATATCTACGGTTTTAGTACTAGTACCTCTTGCTCATATTTGTTTGTACAACTAATCCGGAAAATAGGTTGAAATTTCTGCAGTACGGCGTCTCCACTTTTCCCAATGAGGGAACGATTTGAAAATAAGTTTGGATATTGCTGCAATTTCCTCATGGATGCTTTATGAACATCAACTTCAAACCCTACGATAATGATGGTAACAACTTATTTGTTTTCAATAATTTTGTGGTTTTATTTACTATATATCTTAATGATGCATTTCACCAATTTGATGTTTTTAAATTATTTGAAATGGGATTAAAACTAATTTCTCGACTTGTTATGAATCAATCATAATTTTTTAGTGTACGTCAATTTCATTAAATTTTATCATTATTTTTATTCAAATATTTTAATTTTATTATATTTATTAAAATTAATAAAAATAAAAATATAATAATCAAATTTATTATTATATCATAATATAACGATGAGTTTCTACCATGCTCCTTCTACACGTTCAGGCTATAGCACCCGTCGACCGCAATCTGAAATTTCCAATAATTATGTCTTCAAAAATATTATGGTTGCTGCTACTCAGTGGCTTTCTTATAATAAAAAGCTAGAGAGATGAATGTAAAAGGTCTCCTAATTTTAATTTTTTTATTTTTTTATTTGAGATTTTTAAATTTTTAAAATTTTTCATTAAATTAAATTTTTAATTAATATTTTATTCATAAATTACATGACTGTTAGACTGTGATTTTGTTTTTTACGTTACATATATTCAAACAAAAAATTAGATGCAAGGAAAAGCACCAAAAATCTCTGAAATTTTCAGAAACTAGTTGAAGTACTTTTTTTTTTTTGTGAGTTTAACTATGTATGTTTGATTTTTATTCAAATCTTTTTTTTTTTTTTTGGGTTTATATTGCCTTTGCAAATTTGGTTAGAAACAGTATTAAAGATATTTTCCAAAGACACAAAAATTAATGCACTTTTGGTCAAAGATGAAGACACGTGTTCACTCGATCGGGTTCTCCAAATTATATGATGTTTCTAGGTATAACAAATTTTATGTACGTAACTGTCAAAAACAAGGAAAATGTGGAAGGCAATTGCAGGACAAATTATGAAAGGGAATTGACAGTAGCGATTAATATCCACCATCAAACACATTGAATTATTACTATTTTTAATCTTATCGTAATTAATTTTATCGTCCATCCAATCCAATAGAATTTAAAAAAATTTCATTTATGCACTAAAAAATCTATAAAAAAAACAAAAAAAAAACTATAAAGTTTCATTCTAGTAATAGGATATCACTTTTAAAGAAATTGGCTAGATATCTTTCCTAATAATGAAGAAAAATTCGTCGACAGTCAGTTAACGTCCATCTATGCCTTATCTTGCAAAATTATAATGTCATTGCAAAATTCATTTTCTTTATATTGATATAAATTTATCTATATAATCAATTGGACTTAAAACTCAAATAGTAAAAATTAAGGAGTTTATAAAATAAGCATTTATAAATATTAAAATTTAAATTTCAAAATTGATGAATATCATATTTTAAAAGTAATTACATAAATAAATTAAATTAAAATTAAGATTTATTTGACACATCCTTTTACTTATTTAAAAAAATGTCTCAAATAATGAAGTCTAAAATTAAGGAGACAAAAATAATACAAAATCCAAAAACGAAAATTCATATTGGAACTATTTATACTAATACTTTTCCTTTGACTCTTTTCATTTCTCTACCTAAATTTGGTTTCCTGCATTGGATCCTAACACGTACACACTGTTTGATTTGAGGGAACCTAAAAAAAGAACAGGTAGGTCTACATTTCAACTCTCAACTAGAGTTGATATCGGATCGGGTTCGAGGTAAATTTTGTTCGTCCCGAACTCGACTTTACCTGATTTTTTTTTTGTTTTTTCATATCCAAATTTGATCCCGATCCGATATTATATAAATAGTACCCGATCGATCCAAAATTAATAAAATATTATTTTTAAAATATAAATTATTATTTTTTAAATATAAATATTTAAAAATATCATTATATAAATATATATAATTAAAAAATTAATTAAAAATAATTTTTTACATAATATCAAGTCGAGTCGAATTTGTCTAAAACCCGAACCTGACTCGACCTTTTGATTATTTCATAATTTTACCGATCCGACACGATCCGAAACTCAAATTTCAAAAAAAAAAATATTGACTCCGTAAAATCGAATCGAGTCGAAAATGTCGGGGATGGGTTAAATTGTCAACCCTACTCCTAACCCACACTTGGATTTCTTTTGCCCACTTAAAAAAAAAAAAAACCTTTTTCCTTTGAATTGTTTAATCTTTTTAATTACTCAATATAGATTATAGTCGTATAATAACCTTGAACGTGTGACAACTTTTGGAGATTTAAAGAGTAACAAAGGAAAGAAAAGGTCATATTTTACACTTTTTCTGCTGTAGTACTTAAAATATTCAATTTGCAGGACCTTTTCTCATTTTTCTTTGCTAATAAAAAGGTTTATGTTTATGTTTCTATTTAATTATTAAGGCCCTGAGGGCTGAGCCATGGGCAGCTTTTGCCAACAATATATATTTATATCTAAAAGTGTAAATAATACATTAGTACTCA